ATGAACTTCGTTTAAGTTACAATACTGGGGAACCATAATCACTGTATACACATATCAAGCAACCAGAAGAGCCATAAAGTAGGTACCCATTAGGATCTCCGCTAAAGGAGGCCCTTTTCCAATGGTTCCTCCCCAGGCCAAGCGGGCTAGGGTTTAGGGTTTATTTATAGGGCCCTAACCCAAGGGCTCCAAATTGCCCAATGTAGGCTATTTATAGACATGGAGCCCCAGCCCTAAACCCTAAACCCTAAACCGTCAGGGTGAGGACAATCCCTCCTACTATACATCGAGGTTCGGCCTGTTTGTTAGGGGTCTGGGTTGCTATTGTATAGGGTCCGTATTTAACGGCTGGGGTTACTATACAACTCCCTATATTGCCCCCATATCATCCACATATAAACACCTAAAATAGAACCTATAGAAAGCTAAACCCTAAATTAGGCCCTAAACTCTGAAGTACGGTTTTGGGCTTCATTCATGGTTTAGCTAAACCCTAAACTTACCGAAACCCCATTAGCGTCAGGGTGCACACACTGGTCATGAGATACGTGCTCTGCACATTTCTCAGCGGGGGCAGTCCCAGAAGGTCACGGCCCGTGAGTCGAAGCATTGCATGCTTAAGGTTTAGCGTTTAGGATTTAGGGTGTTGGGGTTTAGGTTTTAAGGTTGCAACCCCCTTAGACCTCTGAAAAAGAATGATTTACAACTTCCTTGGTGTTAGACTACAAAAATTTACTACTTCCTTAGTGTTGTACAGTTCTTCTACAATGACAACTAACAATCATCTCTAAAAGATTAAGTGTTTATACCACTAAACAAATACATGACATGAACCTAAGAACGCGCGTTCCGTTGGCTCCAGATAGCCAGGCCCATCCAGGCCTTAAATCCTTGCTTGCACCATACCCTAAACTCTCAGCCCATCTTCGTCCCTAAACAGTGACTTATGGATCCAAACTTCAATTCAAGTCACTAAGCTTTCTCACAGTGAGGTTTGCAAAGGGCAGCTACAGACATATTTGAGCGATCCATCTTGAAAATCAAATGCACTTGCGTCATTTTTCAATCCTCAGCAGCCATGCCTAGAATCAGTGTATAGTGCTTGCATGTATTTTTCTAGTATCGCGAAATGCTGTAACCCTAAACCCTAATCCCTAAACGGCGCATTCCGCAAGTCAAAACCATGCCTCCTACAGGGATGACTGCGAAGCTTACAAGTTCCTGCATACACCCCGTTGGCCACAAAAAGGGTTTAGGGTTTAGGGTTTTAGGGTTAGGGGCTTATAGGGTTTTACAACCCAAAAACCTTAAAGTGAATCTAACCAGCTGTGAAGTACAAGATTTTGAGCTTGGAGTTGAGATTGGTGGACACAACAAACCAATCTCTGGGGATCCAACGGCACCAAGTAAGTACTTATAGACTCCAGGACCCACTGTGGGTAAAACTTATAGACTTTAGGACTCAATGTACATAGGTATCATTTATAGATTTGGACCCCAAGACCTAACCCTAAGGCTCCAAGTACCCAATAATTAGGTACTTAGGTTTTCGGTAGTCGTAAATTTAGTATAGATTTTGCGTAAGTATATGATTATTAGGTAGTTGGACCCTTAGGGTAAACCCATCCCAGCGAATAGTTTTCTTCCCCCATATGATCCACTGTCTAAACTCCTAGTATCCCCCTTAATATCCCATATAGTAGTCCCCTATATAATCCCCCATATAACCCCCCTTTAAGGAGTTTAGACTATGGCTCATATGATCTTGAAACTCGGAACCCTAAAATCTGAGAGCCTCGCACCTCGAGCGCCGAAACTCGGTTTCTGATTACCTAAAACCCCAAAAGTATGTAGAATAATGGCCTTTTTGGGCAAATTATGTTTAGGGGTTTTGGGCTACTATTTCACCTACCTTGGGGGTCCTCGTAGGGGTTTAGGGTTCAGCATCAAGTTCTGAGCTCTAAACCCTGGATTCCTGAATCCGAGAGGTGTAACAGGCCCTCCGAACCCGCTGGGACCACCTTGGTAAACCCACTCGCTGCTGAGAGGATGACGGCTGAATGTGCATACTCGGAGGTTCATGGGTAGTGACGCATTTGAGTCATTCGCACTTGAGCCTAAACCCTAAACCCTGAACCCCGGGCTTGGGCCTTCAGGGCACTACTTGAAGGGTCGATGGTTCAGAGGGACCTGCGACTATCACATAATAACAACATGCATTCCTTTGTCAGCACATTTAACCCTACTCCTCACTGCTCCCAAAACCCTATTCTTGAACCCTAAGCTCTAAGCCCTAAACCCCTAAACCCTAAATATTACACCCTAAACCCCTAAACCCTAAACACTAAACCCTAAGAACCCCTAAATAGATGAAAACTGCCCGTGAATCTCCAAGCATCCAAGCAGACTTGGGCTGTTAGGCTGCTTCTGGGTAATTCCATATTAGGGTTTAGGGTTTGGAGTTTAGGGTTTAGGGTTTAGAGTTTAGGGTTTAGAGTTTATGGTTGTGAGCTATAGTCTAAACTCCTAGTATCCCCCTTAATAATGGAGAATCAAATGGAAAAGAAAATGGAAATGACATGGAAACTGCTATCTATAGTGTTATGTAGGGGATTATAGGGGTCATTGTCTAAACTTCTAGTATCCCCTTTGATAACTCCTACAGCAGTCCCTTATATAATCCCTTATATAACCCCCTTTAAGGAGTTTAGACTATGGTTCACATGAGTTTAGGGCTAAGGGTTGGGTTTTCGCATTTGGGTACTTGTAATTATAGCAAGCCCTAAGGGTCCAAGTACCTAATAATCATATACCCCCCCCAAAACCTATTAGATGATTACTATTACCCCAAACCTAAGAACCTAAGCATGGGGTACTTGGACCCTTAGGCAAAGGTTTGAAGGGAGGAATCCCCATTAGATGCGTCAAGGGCTTAGGTTTGAATAAAAGATCTGGTGATTAGGGTCTGGGCTTTACGGATTTGGGGCTTTAGTGAGGAATCTTCCGCTACTTCGGAAACCTTATGTAATGAAAACAAGCCTAGAGTTTCAGCTACTATACATATATATATATATATGTGCTAGCCCCCCCCCCCCACCATGTACCTACCATTTTTGCTAATCTTTAGGGAAGCACTTTTAGAATATGATGAGAAGGAATTCCAGAATCCTTGATTCTTTGGTTGGAGATTTCCATAGCATTCTGGTGTATATGAATTCCTTCCAAATTTTGAAATAAGAAGCACTGCAGAAATCCTCGATTCCTGGATTTCCATTGTTCATGTTTTGGAAAGGCATTTGGTTTATATGAATTCCTGTTAAATTTGATTAGAAACCATTCCTAAATCCTCGATTCTTTGATTTAGGGTTGGGTCCTGGTTTATATGATTTCCTTTCAAAAGCTTATTTTAAATAATACAGAAATCCTGGGTCTCTGGATTTCCGGGTTTCCAATTGTGGGTAAGAATTTGGTTTGTATAAATGCCTTCTAAATTTTGATTAGAAATGACACAAAAATCCTGGAGTCCTGGATTTCCAAATTTGGAAAGGCATTTAGTTTGTATGACATCCATTCAAAAATTCTAATTGGAAATATTGCAGAAATCCTGAGTTCCTGGATTTCCTGATTTCCAATTGTAAGTAAGAGTTGGTTTATATGAATTCCTTTGAAAGATTTCATTAGAAACAATTCCAGAATCCTTGAATCCTGGATTTCGAAAATTTGGAAAGGCGTTTGGTTTATATGACATCCATTTAAAATTGTAATTGGGAATACTGCAGAAATCCTCGATTCCTGGGTTTCCACTTTTCATGTTTTTGAAAGGCATTTGGTTTATATGATTTCCTTTCAAAATTTCATTGAAAACAATTCCAGAATCCTTGATTCTTTGGTTTGGGATTTCCATAGCATTCTGGTGTATATGAATTCCTTCCAAATTAGAAATAAGAAGCTCTGCAGAAATCCTCGATTCCTGGATTTCCATTGTTCATGTTGTTGAAAGGCATTGGGTTTATATGAATTCCTTTTAAAATTTGAATAGAAACCATTCCAACATCCTCGATTCTTTGATTTGGGCTTTCCATAGGGCTCTGGTCTATATGCATTTCTTTTAAGACCTTATTAAAAACACCACAGGAATCCTGGGTTCCTGGATTTCCGCTTCCAACTGCGGGTAAGCATTTTGTTTATATGATTGCCCTTTTAGATGTTGATAAGAAATAGCACTGAAATCCTGGGTTCCTGGATTTCCACCTGTGGGTAAAAATTTGGTTTATATGAATGTCTTTCAGATTTTGATTAGAAATAGCACGGCAATCCTGGATTCCTGGATTTTCAATTCGGGAAAGGGATTTTAGCATAGCAACAAAGCATCTAGCTAGGAGTTGGGAGCTGATGTTCCTCAAACTTCTCTTACCTCCGGTTAGCAAGAAATGAAAGAATCGGTCCATCTAGCAGTCCCACTAAAACCCCTCGTAGTGTATAGTCCCCCTTACGCAGATAGAACATGGGGTATATGCGGACCTTATTATAACATACCAAAAATCATATTCTATCTACTTAAGGGGGGCTATAATGCCCAACCCCAAACCCTAAACCCTATATGCTATCTACTTAAAGGGGACTTTAACCCCAAACCCTAAACCCTATATTTTACCTACTTAAGGGGGACTATAGTAGCCTCCATATACTTTTCCATTCCTTCACTGTCTGCTACACAGAACTGGGTTGTTTAGAGCTCAGAGCCCGACGTTGGGCTCACCAGCTTTGTTCAACTGAAGAACCCTAAGGGTCCAAGGACCCAAAGAACAGGGTTTAGGGTTGAAGGCCGGATGCCACCAAGTCGCACTTGCAGTCCTCTTTTGTTCCTCCAGCGTTGCGCTTGCCACCTTCCGTGGCTCGAGGGGAAAGGACTACTTCGGGCTTAGACTAAGACACTGAGGGCCTGAGCAACTGAAGGGCAGACATTGTCAGCTCCACAGCTTGCACCTGAGTGCGTGCACTTACATGGCCTCCTGGCCGGAACATAAGGCCATTGAAACATCCTGCAACTCTGCAGACTCATCGAGTCCCAGGCCATCTAGTCCCCTTCGGGTCCGCTCGCGGCCACTGAACATTTCTGGATCATCTACAAGCTTCCAACGGAAGCCACATGACACATATCTGTTAAACTGCTGGTCTTCTCCCCTCTTTGTGAGACTGTTGGCCAACATAGCCTGTGCATTCACCCATCTAATCTCCAGCTGGGTACGTCGTTGAGACTCTTTGAGCATGAGCAATTCGAGATCGATTCTCTTCTGCTCTCCTGTGGGTGAGATATACGGCTGCTGCATGCGGTCAAAAACATTTCTGCTATCAGTCACCAAGATTCCAGGAGTCTGTTTAACACACGTATCAGGGTCTTTAAGATTAGGCCTCCTACCCAAAAGTTCACCCCATTGATACCTAAGAAGATACAAGACATCTTCCCCGTCAATGGCAGCCCTGGCTTCGGCAGAACCGGGTGATCTGCAAACTCGGCCTATCTTGCTAGAAGACCAAAACATGGGATTAACATCACACATGTAACCCTCGGAAATTCTTTTGTGGGCAGCCCCTATAAAGATTCCCGCCGTACTATCCCCATTCCTACGGTTCTGGTTAGAAGCGTCTGTCCACGCCACCAGTGTGACCTCCTCTGGAGAGCCCAGTGGTCTGATGATCATGGGATCCCTGGCGGCGTCCTTGATCTTGTGCAGGAGAGCATTAACCTCCATCATGGTCTCCACTGTGCTACATGGAACCTCTGAAAGGTACAGAGACACGTAAGAACTATACCTATACCCAATTTGATTCGCATGCCACGACAAAGAACCAAGGAGGCCTCGTAACTGGGTTTGTTCTTGAGGGCTAGTAGGTTCTTTCCTCTGACGCCTACGGGTTTGGGAAATGGGGATTTCTTTAACATTCTCCATGTAGCGCTGCTGGGACAACTCGAATGTGCCACCCTCCTGGCGTTTAATCTGAACCCCACACTGAGTGAAATCATTGTGCTCAAACTCCCCCCATCGGAAATGCGACTGAATCGCCTCTTTCACCTCCAACCAAGTACTGTCACAAGGATCCCCAACCATCATAAAATCATCAACATGTCCGGAAATGATAGCTTTGGTACAACCTTCAACCTCGAAAACCCAACAGCAGGGGTCCGAACCACATTGGTAAAAACCAAGGCTCAGAAGGTATTCTCTTACCGTTTCGAACCATTCGTACGGTGCTTGGACCAAGCCGTAGCAGGCTTTCTTAAGGCGAACTATACTTTCAGGGGGGACCTTTAAGGCTTCACATATTTCAGGAGTAGGAACACAGTAGAGATCATACGGACATTCCCTTCCTTGAAGGAAGGCGGCGGCCACGTCGCCTTTCCAGGCATGCCACTTCCTACAAGCAGCGTACTGAAGCATCAGCTGACGAGTGTGTCTCGTGGTGGTGGGAGCGTAAGTGACCCTATTCTCATACTGTGGGTCCTGATACCCCAGGATGACGGCCCTAGCTTTAGGAGAAGTCACCCCTTCATGATCCGTCTTCCAGGTTAAGAGCCATCGCATTCGCATGGCCTCCTGCCGGGAAGGTTGCTTATCAGGGGGGAGTGCTTCCAGAGCCTTGGAGGCCACAAACTTTCTGACCTCCACCATCTTCGCCTGGCGGAACCTTGCCTTAGTGTCCTGATCCATGTGCCGTTCATACACCTCGATGTTCTTCTTCTTGAGCGCACTTGCCAAGTAGTTTGGAAGGTCCCGGACTGCTTGATGCCAGCCATGGCGAGTCTTCGGCATCTCCACCTCGATGGCCACGCCGGCCGTCTCTGTGCTCCAGAAGCTGGGGTGTAGACTCCAGGCTCAGGTTGGCCTCCTCTCTCCGAGGTGACCGGCTGCGGTGTCGTTGCGGCGGTGCCTCCTCTGGCTGGGCTTCTGTCGCTTCCTGTCGGATGCCCGGCTGTCTGTGTCGAACTCGCCGGAGAGGAGCCTGCCATGCTGGTGCCTCGCCATGGATGGTTACCTCTTCAGTGCTTGGCACTTCCATGGTGATATCTTCATACTCTTCCTTGCCCAGCGGTGACGCCAGTTCGGTCATGGTCCATGGCACCTGGACCGGTTTGTCGAACTCATGCAGCACCGTCTCTCTCTCTGAGGCAAAGCGTAGTTGCTCCACTTGCCCTGCAGCTGTGTCCTCCAGTAGAACACCAAATCTCCAGGAGCGAACTCCGGGATTTTGCGCTCCTTCGAGTTTATGGCTCGGCTCAATCTCTGCTGTGCTTGCCATCGCGTGAAAGCGACCTCTGCTTCCTCACGCAGCTTTTGATGCTGCGCAATCTCGCCCTCTGGGTTCCCCATCATGTGAACGGGTAGCCCCTTGACGTCGCTCTCGAACAGCCGCCCACAGGGGTCTGGTACTTGACCCAGAGCGTGTTGCCTTGGTGAGAACCCCCGGACAACCTCTCGATTGTTCCAAGCTTCGAGCGCACTTGCCAGTGCCGCTTGAGTGTCCATCTGTGGCTCTTGAAGGGCCAGCTTCGACAAACATTCTTTGACCCAAGCAATGGATCTTTCAAGAGGAGAAATATGCCAGTGAGCATCTCCCGGCACAGGATCAAGCATGATACCCATGTCACTGAAAGCACTATCAAGAGCTTTAGATCTCCAAGTGCCCTCCGCATCATACCGAAGGATTTCAGGCTTGCCAAAATACTGCTGCCAGTGTTCCTGGAAGAACCTGATGTAGGTCTCGGCGTTCGGAAGATGGGTTTTGTGCTGAACCAAAACTTTCCCCACCAGGAAACGGCTGTTTTGATCCATGTATAAACCAATCACATTACGGACCTTAGACCCCGGATGAACCCAATGAGCCCCATCCGCCAACATCACCTTCCACCTTTCAGGGTGAACTTCCAGAGTGGCCACTCGTCTTGGAGCGGGTCGCTTCCGCTCCTCACACACGCTACAACGGAACTCATCAACAAGTTGGACCACTCGCTTGTCCACTCCCCGTTTCACCAACGCCTGTTTGAGAACGTCCTTGCTCCCATGCCCCGTGGCCCCATGTAACAAACGGATTTTGTGTAACCACCTTTCCCGTTCCGCCGCCGTGAACTCAGTGGTCAACTCCTCCTGCACCAGGGCTTTGGCGGAAGGTCGTTGACCATAAAGGTTGTACATGTGGTCTTCCACTTGACTGGCATGGGTGTCTTGATTGACATGTGCATCCGAACTGTCTTGCAACCACTGGAACATGCATGCTGGACATGTCTGTGACACTCCCTTGCATTTAAAAACATGGCACTGGCACTGCAACATGTTGAGACTGTCACCTTTACACCTGTTTTGCATGTCTTGGGAAACATGTGGCACCTGCTGCATGTAATGGATCATCCGACTAGCAAACTTAGGGGTATAGAAAGCGGACATCCTAGTCAAGTGGCTCTCACACACAACATGCGGACCCTCACATGATGCTTGCAAACATGGAATGTGGATGTTACGTGCAAACAGCTCGGAGGTTGTTTCAATGCGCCACTCTTTCCCGACCAGGTGCCCCGATTTCTTATCCCGCAACCCAACTCGGCAACCCCCCACAATGGCGGTATGAGTGTTGTGTTCGCTTCGGAATCGGTCCATGTTTGGCCATTTCCAAGCCCGGCACCTCCTGGACCACTCCCAGTGAACCTCCGCCCCATGATGACGACCCCAATACGCCACAACCATGGCAGCCACGTGCTGCTTTCTGGCTTCATGTTGTTTTTGTTTGAGGGACTTCACTTGTTCAGGGGTTCGTTGGTTCAGGTTTTGCATGGGGGAAAATGACGAACACTCAGTACTAATCCAAACATGCTTGGGTTTGCGGGCACGGACAAGATCAAGCACTCTGCAGGGACCGTGGGGATCCGTCAGGTCATGTTGATTGAAAAGCCCTGCTCTGAAGTATGACAGACCTACTTTTTCGGCCGCCTCACCTAAGGCAGAACTCTCATCACAGCACACCTCGAGCAGGAACAGACGGCTACTCTGCTCAAGGTCTTGGAAAAGGGACGCCGTGTGCCGGTCCGGGGCACTCGTCAAAAGATTCACCTCCTCTGAGGTGAGAACACATCGCTTGCCAAGCGGTTCATATGGCAAAACACCTGGCCCACTCAGTGCTTGCCCCTCTTCTCGGACACCAACTCCGTCATCATGTTCTGGCGGAGCTCGTGGTTCTCGCCCTCCAGTTTGGTCATGGCATCCGAGCCCTGACTTCGCTGGTAGTGTGCACCACTGCCCTTGCCAGCTGGCGAGGCTTGAATGATGGCTTTGAACTTGGTCTGCTGCCCGGGGAGATTCGAAGTTGGTGGCTCGTCCACGGTTGTCCACTCGCTCTGGTCGTCGGTCTCCATCTCGCCGTTGATCACCTTCTCGCACCAACGTGCAAAGCGGATCAGCTTCCAATCCGGAGACGGTGCCGTTGCCACCTCCCGGATGGCCCACTCGCAGTACTGGTAGTCCTCCGCCATGACGGTCTGGTACTCCTTGTCCTTGTACTTCCCGAAGTCCATGAGGGTGTCGAAGAGGCCGGTCTTCTCCGTGATGTGCTCCCGAAGACGAAGTCGAAGGTCCGCCGCCCTGTCGCGGGTCGTGTAGTCCACCCCGAAGTCGTCGCACATCTGGCGAAGGGCAGGAAGGAGAGCAGTTTTGATGCGGTCCATGTCGCTCGTCGCCTGGTTGCCCTTCTCCTTGTTGGTCACCATGCCGGCTCGGACGCGGGCTCCCTTCAAGAGTGCCTCACCTCGGCAATGGAGAGATTCGGGTTCACGACAATGTTGTGCACCATCTCGAGCTCGGTGCGTGCCTCCTTGATCCCGCAGAGATAGTGTGGCTTGAGTCCTGGCTGTGTCAGGGCTGTTCCCACAGGGTAGCCGCAGTTGAGGTCCATGTGGGCCGCTTCGGCCGACGTCTTGGTGCTCTGCTTGGCGGTCGCCATGCTCACGGGAAGCAAGGTAAGGAGAGGAAGGCGGGGGCTTACTTAGGGGAAGACTAGTTCCCTGGCACTGTGCTCCGGAAAAAGGTTCAGACTTGCGCATGCCTGGTTCAACAGGCTCGGCTGGAAAAATCAAAGCATCACTCCTACCACTACAGTCCCTACTGAATTCATGTGGCAGAGTTGCAGAATGCTGCTGGCCTGACTGCAAACACTTGTTAGCCCCACACTCAGGATCAGGCCTTCCTAAGCTGGGTCTGGTTTCCTACTCCCCAAGGGCACTCAGACGATGAACCTCACGACCAAGGTCCTTGGCATTCTTGAAGGGGTTGTCGCCCAAAAAAAAAAGATGCGGTGTCCTACCTGATTGACTCCAAGGAAACAAGCTTCTTGGGATCAAGCTTGGAGAAGATAGCCTCATCATTGGCATAATCAATAATGGCTCCCATGCGGCGTAGGCTATCTATGGAAAGAAGAATTGGAGCCTTGCCATCTGGGATCACATGTATCCGGAACTGCATTCGCTGAGGAGTGTCGGGCACCTGAACATAGCAAGTCGACATGCTCTGCGAACGGGCCGAGTTCCCGAAGCCAAAGATGGGACGATCTGCCTTGTCCAGGAAGTTCAGGCCTGAAGAGCCACGTTGCTGTTGATTCCAGTTCAGGAGTTGTTCAACTGCATGCGCGCTTCCCATGGCGCGGGTGGCACCGCTGTCCAGGACTGCCATGCCCTCCTGAATGGCTTGATCCATGCTTCTCTTCTGGCCATCCCACGCGGAGAAAATCTCATGGACCTTTGTGTCCATGGGCTCGTGCTGCTCTGCCGACACCTGGTCGTTGTCGCGCTGGTGATCGTGGTCGTACACCTGGGAGTCCTCGTGGAAGTAGGTGAACTCCGCCAACTCTTCCGCCCGCATGCCTTTTGACTCTTCACGAGCTTGGGGGCAATCACTTGTCCGGTGGCTGCGGCTCCCGCACTTTAGGCATGGGCTTGCCGATGGACTGGCCCCGATCGGCTGCTTGCCCTTGCCATTGCCTTTCTGCCAAGAGGGCTTGTAAAAACGCCTTCCCATCTTGACCTCCTGCTGGCGGGCGCGGGCATCCCGAAGTGTACGCTTGGCTTGCTGGTACTGGAGCCAGGCCTCGTGTTCTTGGGCCCGGGCGTCTTGGTACCATGCCACTTCCTGGTCTGACCAGTTTTCGAAGAATGCCTCATCGAGGTCCTCGGCGGGATCGTCGATGTCATCCTCTTCGTCCTGGTAGTGCGCCACATGCTTGGCTTCTCCGTCGCGTCGCTTGACCTGGTCGTCTGTCCAGTGACTCCGCAAGCTGTTCTCCACACCTGACAAGGTGAAGTTGCCTTTGAGGTCACCCTGAATGACACTACGCTCCAAGGGATCCAAGCCACACTTGTCAAGGAGAAACCATCCCTGAACCGCATCGGGGAGGACCTGGACAAGGTCGTCATCCTCATCCTCCGTGCTGTTCTCTTTCGCCTCGTCTCGGGCGCGCTGCCAGGAGTTGGCGTACCAATCGCCTGACCCATACCAGTTTGGGCCCCATCCAGTGTGCCAGCTTGACCACCAGTTGTTGCCATAGCTCCACTGCCACCTGTCGTTCTGGTCGCTGTTGCTTGCTTCTGGTGTGGCGCCAGCCGCTTCGGTTGTCGGCTGGCCCTCAGTGTCGCGGCTGGCCCCTGCCGTGCTGCTAGGTCTCGGTTCCCCCTCCCTTGTGGCCGGCGGAACTGCATCGCTGACCCTGGCCGTTTGCCGAGAAGCCTGCTGAGAAGGAACTTGACCATGTTCTCGAAGCATTCTGCCCAGAGACCTGCACATGCGATCATATTCTTCCCGGTGGCGGACACAAAAGGCTGTCATGGACTCTCCCTTCTCCTGCGCAATACCCTAAAGTATTGTCTCATGAAGTTCCCAACTTCTGGCAGTGCTGGCTCCGCAATTGTCTGTTGCAGATGCCTCAGGAGAGTCTCTGCGCCATTGTGCCCACTGAGCCACGTGCTCTTCTGTCCCTGAATGGCTGTGCGCGCTGCCCCTGTCAGCTCGGCGGCCAGTCGTGGCCCGCAGGTATATCTCAACTCTACCTTGGTTGAGGCCACATACAGGCGTGCTGCCGCCTTGTATTCTGACCAAGAACTTGGCTCACCTCCCCATCCAGGAACCCCATCTCGATTCCTCGTGACTGTGCTCATGGCGGCCACAGGCCGTGCAAAGGCCGGGATACCCGGCTGTACCAACTGATGCAGTTGGTGCCCCAGATCTGGATCTCTAAATCACAACGTACCGTTGCAGGCTGCGCTACCGTGAAGGCCGGATGCCACCAAGTCGCACTTGCAGTCCTCTTTTGTTCCTCCAGCGTTGCGCTTGCCACCTTCCGTGGCTCGAGGGGAAAGGACTACTTCGGGCTTAGACTAAGACACTGAGGGCCTGAGCA